GGTTTAGGGTTTCGGCTTTAGAGTCTAGGGTTTAGGGTTTAAGGTTCAGGGTTTAGGGTTGCGGCTTTAAGGTTTAGGGTTTAGGGTTTCCCCCTTCCCCTCTTAGGGTTTAGGGTTTAAGGTTTAGGGTTTAGGGTTTCCTCCTTCCCCTCGGTCCTCCAGCGTAGGTTGTTTGGGTAAAGGGGTCTTTAAGGTTTCAGAGTTTTGGATTTACGCCTTTAGTTTGGAGGGTTTCCATGGTTCAGGATCTAGGGATGTTCGGGTATTGGAGCTCTTCGGGTTTTTACTATAGGGACCTTAATAATTATAGTGGTATATTATATTCTCATTATAATAAGGAGCCCCCAAAACCCTATTCTAAGTATTCAGGCCCCTACATTACTGTCTAAGTTTGAGAGTTTGAGGCCTTGGGGTATTTCTGTTCAAGGGTTCATAAACCCTAAACCCTAAACCCTAAACCGAGGGGTGACTGAGTGTGGCATTTTGCCTGGGGTAGGGTTGAGGCTCTGCTCCGTTTGTGGGAGGCACCCGGGTTACGGCTGGTAAGGGCTGCCCGTGCTGTCGCCTACCCCCTGGCCTCTGGGCCTTCTGGCACGTGGACCAGTACTGCAGTCGGAAAAAGGGGCTTAAAAAAACAACCTAAACCCTAAACCCTAAACCCTAAACCCTTCAGGGTTAAGGGTTAAAGGGCTGGGACCAGGTTCAAGGGTTCAGAGTCCCAGGCTGGAGGTGTGGGGCTTAGAGGCTTTCGGGCTTGATGATATCAATCTTGCATTACCTTCAGGGACCCTTAACTATGGGAGTTATGGTATATTCCTTATTATGGGTTTACCCTAAACTATGGGAGTTAGGGTATATTCCTTATTATGGGTATACCTTCAGGACCCTAAACTATGGGAATTAGGGTATAATATTCATAAATCTGAGTTCATAAACATGGGTAATGCGCAGGATTTATATCATCAACCGTAGGGCTTCAGCTTTAAAGGGAATACGATTGAGGGTTTCGCAGTAAAGCTTCAGCGCAAGGTGCAGAATGATGCGTAGCAAGAGATAGAGACGAGGAGTAAATGGACTATCACCGAAGAGCCGGAGCGAGACGTAAGGGCAAAAGTCGTCATGAAAAGAAGACAGCTACTCTACACTTGGAAATCATGAAGTGCCGCGCTGGACACTTTCTAAGCTGTCAGAGCAAAGATGCGCACGTAGCACGGACAGCACGGCGTAAACCCAAGCCCACTGAGCCTTAACCCTTCACCTACTACGCTAAACCAGACCCCGAACTGCAATCTCTAGATCCCATGGGTAGTGACGGGTAGTGTTTACAATGGTGAGTCTTTAGCTTAGGGCTTAGGGCTTAGGGTTCCCAGCCTAGCCTTGCCTGCCCTTAAACCCAAGTCCTTATACCCTGCAGCCTGAACTCTTCTGATCACAATCCTCATACCTTAAATCCTAAAACGAAACCCACATCCCTATGCCTGATCACCTCAACCCTAAGCCCAAATCCTTATACCCTAAACCCTAAACCCTAAATCCCTAAACCGTAAACCCTAAACCCCTAAACCCCTAAGTTCCTAAACCCTACATCCCTAAACCGTAAATCCTAAACCCCTAAACTCCTAAACCCTAAGTAAACCCTAGCTCGACACCCTAAGCTCCTAAACCCTAAAACCCTAAACACCTAAATTAAACCCTAGCTCGACACCCTCGGCGACTGAAGGCTTCCACGTTTTCCAATATCAGCGACTCGGCCCCCGGGGCCCGGGGCTTCGTAGCGGCTGGGGATTCCTTGTGTCGGGCCAGGGTTTTTGCGTGGTTTAAGACGGCTTGGGGCTTAGAGTTTAGGGTTTAGGGGTTTAGGGTTTAGGGGTTTAGGGGTTTAGGGTTTAGGGGTTTAGGGTTTAGGGGTTGACGGTTTAGGGTTTATGGGTTTAGTCTGAGACTAGAGGGTTTAGGGATGTTTGGGGTTCAGGGTGTTTAGGGTTCAGGGTCACGATCTTGTGATGTGTTCGCTACGACGTTCCTAGTGACATATATATATATATATACATACACACATACATATATATATATATATATATAAATATATATATATATATATACATATGTATATGCACACATGTATGTGTACACATATATATATATATACATATGTACACTCATACATACACACATACATACATACATTACATTACATTGCATTGCATTACATTACATTACATTACCTTACCTTACCTTACATTACATTACATTACATTACATTACATTTCATTACATTACATTACATTACATTACATCACATTACATTACATTACATTACATTACATTACATTACATTACAATTCATTACTTTACATTACATTACATTACGTTACNNTACATACATACATACACACACATAATCATACATATTAACACACGAAAAAACAAACGTGAAAGTACGTGCATACAAACATATACACACACATACAGACACAATGACATATGTACATGCGACGAAACACGAATGCCTATGTACATACACACAGAAAGATGCACAGATAGATAGATAGCTAGATAGATNNTAGATAGATAGTTAGATGGATAGATAGACAGGTAGGTGGGCAGGTAGATAGACAGATAGATAGATAGGTAGCTGGACAGATAGATAGACAGATAGATAGATAGATAGGTAGATCGAATGGTAGCTGGACAGATCGACAGATAGATAGATAGACAGGTAAATAGATAAGTACATAGATAGATAGACAGATAGGTACATAGATAGTTAGTTAGATAGATAGATAGATAGATAGATAGTCGGTACTTACAGAAACACATAATAAATCATAGTATGCCAGTGCCTATGTGTGCGTGCTTGCAAATTAGTTTGTGTTCGTAGTTCGGTATGTATGTGTGCACGTAACATTTGTTGCACGTATCTACATACATCTGTGTTGCGTGCATGAAACATGCATCCCTTTTTACCGGTGTAATATATGGAAAGAGACAGCAACATGGAGACACACAGCAATAGGAGAAAACGCAACAACAAGAACGATACCAACAATAACAAGAACAATCACAAGTAGTACAAGTGCACGTTCGTGCTGACGCCAGAGGAGCTTCCTTGGTGGCAAGAAGCTGACACGTGAAAATTGAACCTCAGTCCCACCGCCTTGAACTCACCACAGATTTCGGAATTCGGAGCCTTATGCCTTATTGCAAGAATACGCACGGAGACTTGAACCAAAGTCACGTTAGCTGCAGGGTCAGTGATCGCAAAACCGAGGCTGTCCGACGATCCTGCTGTGGCCCGAGGGATGCCGATCCAAGTGCAGTGCTGACGTCATCTACACGGTATAAGCATGCACAGAGAGGTCTAGCTGCACCCAAAAAACGCATGTATGCATGTATGCATGTATGTAGTTGTACACATGTGTATGTCTGTACAAGCCACCATGTATGTATGTATGTATGTTTGTATGTATGTATGCATGCATGCATGCAAGCATGTATGTAATATATTTATATGCATCCATATATATGTGCTCAAATATAAAGCTTATGTATAAGCACAAAGAGACATGCGTACGTACATACATACATCAGCGCGAAACACACGCCCCCCCAGACACACACACACACAAACACACACACACACACTTACTTGTGTGTGTGTGTGTGTCTGCATTCGGTTTTATGTGTGTGTGAAGGAACATGCACGCATGTATGTATCGTCGTGATGTACCTCTGCATGCATGCCGTACCTTCTCTACCAGCATACATACCAACATAAACCAACATACGCAATCAGTGCATGCAGGGTTTACCACTGAAAGGTCTGATCGGAAGGTGCAAAGCCGAGACAACAACACTCTGTCACAGCCAAAATGGTTCAGGGCCTGCTAAATTCACACCCAAGATTAAAGGAAACTACAGGTGGGGAGTTTAGGGCATATAGGGCTTCTATAAGGCTTCCATAAGGTATATAGACCTTCTATAAGGCTCCTATAACGGTAACTACCCAGCTGAAAATGTCCCAGACAAGAATCTGCAACTTGAATCTCTTGATGCTGGAATCATCCACACCCCAAAGCAGCAAGCAAGCCCGAAAGCCTAAACTCCTGAAGCCTTAATGACAGTCCCCTAAACCCGAAACCCTAAACTCTAATGACTCTAATGTAGAACTCTTGAAAGAAGCCCCTAACCCAAAGCGTCCTGAGCCTCCATCTGCCCCAATTTGGCTTTCATCCGACGGTTGTCCTCACAGAGAGCTAACTTAGAAAGAGCTCCAAGCAAACGAAGACGAGGGTTTAGGATTACGCTCTCGCAACTCGGACTCCGCCAGACGAGGTCTCTTGTGTCCAACTTGTGCCAACTGCTAAGGGTTTAGGATTAGGGTTTGGGCATCTTTTTGTGCCACTCGCTACTCGGAAGAAGCAGTTTAAGGTGTTCTGGTTCCAATTTCGAGTGCCGGTCCACGGTGTCGGTGTTTCGGGTACTTCTAGGGCTCTGACTTGCGGTTTTAAAGACGTTTCGCGAATCGCTGCAACATGCTGAGCAATCTGGTGTCTGCCAGAAACTGAAGTTTCCTTTCACAGCAGGATCAGGCTTTCTCAAGAAAAGGGCTACCACCTGTGGCGGCCCTGAAGAGAAAGATCCGAGCATTTAATGTAGGGAAGGGGCCTAAATTACCAATACTGTTTTGGGGATCCTTGTTATAATTTAAATATAGTATATTGGGCCCCACAACCCTATTCTAATTATTAAGACCCCCTATCTTAGGCTTTTAGCTTCGGGTGTCCCAGTTGATGAAACTCCGAGTTGATGGGACTTGATCCTGAGACTAATGTAGGCGCAAAAATAATTTGAATACTGGGAGGTTCTTTATTATAATTATAGTAGAATATACCCCCAAACCCTAATTCTCGCATCCTTGCACCGAGCTGGAGCTCTCATGAACCCTGTGTGAATTGCACAAAGCTTCTTCGCGTGTCTTCTGAACCTTTAAATCTTGCCCGTAGATGCCACACTCCACCTGTAGTTACTCTGAGTCAGTGGCACCAGGAAGCCTTTACCATGATTCAATCAGTTTGTCGCACCGCTGACAGACTTAGAGCTCAATTTGCTCTGAGGGTCTTTTTTCTTCAAGAGGGTGCACCAGACGCTCTGCTTTTCTTTGCTCGCCCAAACGTTTAGTCCGCTTCACTCCCAAACCCTATTTCAATTATTAGGCCCCTATTTTGGGCTGTTGGGGTAGAGCGTGTGTGTGTGTGTGTATGTGTTTCGGTAATACCTTGGGGAGGATTAGGGGACTTTAGACCCTAAACCCTAAACCCTAAGCCCTAAACCCTAAACCCTAAGCCGCATAAAACAACTTCCTGAGATCCATAGTTGCAAATTCATCTGCAAAGGTTGTGCCTGGGAAAAACCCAGAGACAGAGACTCCCATATCAGACGCAGAGGATACTCCATACTCCCTAGGTTTCAGGTTGAGCATTTAGGCATCTAGGGCTTATGTCCATCGTAATGTAGTAATGTGTTTCTAATTTCGGGGTTTTGTGAACTCACCACACCCCTAGAGAACTGCGAAAACCCTGTGAAGACTTATTGAATCCTGTGGCAAAGAGCCTAACCCTAAACACTCAACTCCAAACCCTAAAGCCCAAATCCTAAACCCTGAACCCTGAAACCCCAAACTCCTAAACCCTGAAACCCTAAAACCCGAAGCCCTAGACCCTGAAACCCTAAACCGATGACCCAGAGGGTCTGCAACGGGATTCGCATGAACCTACGACCTCACACTGCACAAAATCATATATGACAAAGGATGCCCTTCTGAATTTAGGGTTTAAGGTTTAGCTTAAAGGTCAACTCACGACTGCTTGGAGGCTCTTGCGGCAGCAAGATTAAACGCGAAAGGACAGAGGGGCGTTGTGTGAAGCTTCGAAGGGGTTCTGCACGAGGTGCACAAGGTTTACACAGATTTGGTAAATTTTCGGTGCTGCACAAGGCTACTTTAACAAGCACCTCAAGAGGCGCCATAATGTGATCCCTTAGGGGGTTTTAGACTTTCCACCAGGGTGGTAAGGTTGAAGCCTTCCCACAAAAGGGTCCTAAGTATCTATATGGGGGGATACTTTCCCAAAACATAGCAGTTTCTACATGTGGTATAGAAACCCCACGTTCTACTGTGCAGGTACATACGATAAATTGAGCAGTCAAACGGGCTATCTCTCTAAAGAACGGCAGGGGCCCATGTTAACTTAAGAGATCTTCTAATTACATGTCCAGTACCCTGAACCCCTAAACCCTAAACCCCTCAACCCTAAATCCTCAACCCTTAACCCTAAACCCCAAAACCCTAAAATATCTAAGGAATAGCATTAAAGATTCAGGCATCTATATTCCTGGTGGAACCATCGTATCAAACACTTGGTTACACCACTTGGAGTATCACAACGCCTGATACACACCGGTTCTTGGTCATTGATTTCTTCATTCAGTAATTCGTTCGTTCGCTCGGTTGTTCAGTGTTGATTTGCAGTCAGTTCTATTCAGTCACTGACTCTTAGATCCCTAAACCCAAAAATCTAACCTTAGAAGACGAACGAAAGACTAGTTTGTTGGACAAGAGATTGCTTCTTGGAGATGTGTAACGAAGAACCAGACTTTCAATATACAAAATACAAACAACAAACAAACACACACACACACAAACAAACACACAACATGGCTTTAGGCTTTAAGAATTGGGGCA